CTGAGTATTATGTTGATTTCTAATTGAGGTGAATTTGTTTTATACTTTTTCTATATTATTGATTTTAATTATTTAGGAATCTCTCTCTCTATATATTTAGCTTCGATATTCAGGATTATTAATGTCATTCTAGGTTTAATTTTTCATTTTAAAGTTATATACTTATTACTATTTAAATAAACTTTTGTTTATTATTTTCACGTCTGAGTTTTTTTATTTTACTTTTCATGTAGCTGTGGTCGATATCGATCTTTTCAAAGGTTTGAGATTCTCTATGTGTGATGCATTTTTTTTCATTTCATTTGGGTTCTTTTATATTATAATCATAGATTTTAAAACCTTTAACTAGTTTTTTTTGTATAACTTTAGATAATGAAAATTTATTATGTATTTTATTTTTATCCACTGTCTACCAAATTAACTAATACTGTTTTTAATTCTAGCAAAAGTCATATAAATGGCTAATATATTTTTAAAAAGCAAACGTACTTTTAGTGAGTTAATCTTTATCACTATTAGTTTCTTTACGTCATGATTTATACATATAACTGCTATAAAACAACATGAACAAGAGAAACTTATGTTCGAAGAAGCCCTAAAATATTTTAAACCGATGTTTTCTTTTTATAAAATATTTATTTGTGATTATTACCTTTCCTTTATATTTTTATATAATAAAGTCTATTTTGCGAAAATGCAAGATAAGGAATGGAAGTATATACCCCCCAGTGAAAGGGGTGGAGCACGTTTTCCAAATACTACCCAGTCGAGTGCTTTTTCTATACATGCACCACCGTTTGATCCCACAGCCTCTTTAGGGCTTGATATACCTACTGAGATCCATGGAAACACGAACTGGAGTTATCAGTCTCCCTACACCACGGGATATTACCCTCATAAAGCAGCGAATGCTTATCCTGGTACTCTAGGTCACTTTCGAAGTCCTAATGTACCTGCCACACGATATGAGCCAAGAAAAGAGAATGCTGAAAAAGAGGGATTATCAATTTATGCTAAACCTTGGCGACCTCCCTCAGAAACTGTCCTTGATCCTATTATAGTGGACGATAAGGTTACTGATTTTACTCCGCCATCATTTTTAAAAGTTGAACAGGGAGGAACCGGGGTTTATGTACCAGCCCCTATTATTTCTAAAGAAGTGAGTGACAATATTTTTGTTCATGTATCCACAGTAATACCTCGAACGAATTTGTCGGCTGAGTTTAAGCTCATAAATTATTTATGTGGCCGATGTCCTTTAAAGTCGTTATTTGGAAGATTGTCTTCGCGAAAAGCGGATGTGAACTTGCGTAACATTGCACCAGATATTCCTCCGCTGTGTATTGCTCATTTAATTGAGCAACAAATCAAAGCCAAAGTAACTGCAATCTATTATAACGACGCTGATGGCTCACAGTACGATATATGGTTAGATAAACCAAACATCTCTTCGCATGTTGTTGAAATGATCAATGAACGCCTCTGGACATGTCCTATGTTTCATGGGTTTGCAGTTCTTCTTAAAGGCGAAGAATCTAAAACTTACCTAAAGAATTACCTGGATGCATTAAAAAAATCAGAATACAGTAAAAAATGTCCATATCCTCTTTCTTTTGTTGAGGTAAAGGAGCACTAGCTATTTCTTTCATATCATTACAAAATAAGAATTGGACTCTTTTCTTTGTTGGTGTTGTGATTAGTTTATATTGGGAGGGTTATTTTACTTCCAAGGAAAACCTTTGAGTTATATATTTTTTATTCATCCTTATTCATTGAACTAAAAATTATTATTTCTCCATTTTCCTATTTCTCATGCCTTTATTCAATAGATTTAGCCTTTAAAGGATTATTATAAGCGAATACAATACAACAATGCAATACTAGATATGACTAAATGAACACAAATATACGCGCACACAGACGTACATACATACATGTACATATATGTATTCATACGTCACTAAACCAATTTTTCTTTTATACTCATGAAATATTATCAATAGTAGGACTTCAATGATTTTATTACATATCCTCCAGATGGTTATTCTGTTGCCTTTTTTCTACAACACTATTTTTGTTCAAATAAAGAATTTATTAAAGCTTATCAATGTGAAAACATGTGAGGAGGATTGCTTTGAATAGTTGAATTATGCATTCGTCCTTTTCCAATTTGTGTTACACCCTTTATTATACTATGGATAAGTGATTTTTGAGCTAATATTTTAAATTTCACAGAAATATAGAATTTAATGATTCAGTGCTTTATAATAGTTCTTAAAAAAAAATAAGCCATTATTTGCTGCTTTTTTTATACGAGGGTCAGGTTCAGCTATTTAGTTAATAATAATAATGATACAATAGCGACTTTGTAAATTTTAAGCGGCCTCGAAATGCAACGCCTAAAACTTATCCTACTTTCCATGTTTCGCTGCCGACAACTTTATCAGTTAAGGATTTCAAAGTATCATATAATGAGTATAGAGCGATATCTACCCTCTGAATAGTTTTATTAGTGTTAGTGGAATTGGTGTTTTTGCTTTCAAAAGTGTCACCATTTGAAAGAAATATTTTTCTTTCCCCTAGCCATTGCAGCTGATAAGATTTATCATTTTCATTGTCTTTCAAAAGTGTTTGATAGCAATAATATAGGAAAAAATCAAAGAGTACATTTCTAATATTTCCTGTATAATTAATTTTATCAAATAAACTATAAGTGCCACCAGAAGGATTTAACAAAGCTGACACTATGGTTTTATTTTTAACACTGGATATTACCTCCAAGTTTACGCTGTCAAGTGTCTAAGTAACTAAAAGCATGACTGGGCTATTCATTCAAGAACATTATGTAATAGTGCCAAGGTAATGCGACAGCATATATATGTTTATTTTATGTAATAAAAGATAGCATTTGTTTTAATATTACTTTATGACTTTAATATATTTTTCAGTCTTATTCTCATGTTTTTATCTTTTTGCATTCAAATTTCTTGTATAAGATATAATATTGAAGATATGTCAATACAAAACAGCATCACATGTAACTCATTAGACAGATTTTTTTTTTTGAAATATTGATATATTGATGTTTTCCAAAACATTATGCTTCACATAATTCGTATATTGTGAAGGCACTATTATTTATATTTCATCGGATAGCTCTAGTGAATGTCATATTCAAAGCTGAGCATACAAGTTACCTTTTTAGGTATGTTCTTATCCCCTTTTCAGCTTTGTTTTCTATTTGCATGTTGCTTTGTGTTGATATGTCTTCCTTTTTCATCTGAAAGTAATTTCCATTACATATTTATTTATTGAGGCTTCTGAAGGGGATATGTGTAATAATGGGAGACTCGGAACGACTCTAGCTTATTTTTCTCTTATTTCAGTGAGAATACAGAGCCGTTTTTCATTGCTGTAGTTTTTTTTCCCTTGTATCCACTCCATTACCCTCCATAGTGGAGGGGAAGGGGGGATCGGTTTACCCGAGGTGGTATTATTTACATTCCCACTCTGCAAGTGCAGATCTTGGCAAGTGTTGAGTATATGAACAAACAAATTCTCTGAATGAAAAAATTGAGCAATAAATAGGTATTTTTCATCATGTTATGAACGGTCTACTTATTAATTTACAACTTTAAAAAAAAAGTCGAGAAATTATTCTTTTTTTCTTACCTTTTTTTTTCGAAATAAAGTATGGTTCGATGCGTCAACCTTCTAATTTAGAAGGTCTTCATAAGAGTAGTGGTGATAATCCAGAAAGAGAGGGAGAATTTGGCTCTTTTTTTCCATTCGCCCCGCCAAGGATACGGCTACAGAGAAATACTATCAGACACACATCCACACGTTTATTTACCAACAGAAAAGGTGAGGCGATCGCTGGTGAAACAAAAGACACCATTAATATTGAGAAAAACGTTCCTAATTCTTTTCTTAGCGATTTTAGCTCTTTAAAAAACTCCGCATCGGTATACCAGAACGGGAGTAATGTAGATATACGAAATCCAAATAGTTCTGATTATGTGAAAGATTGTGGATTTCGCTTTAGACCAGTTAATGGCAATGCCCCGGACCATGGTGATAATTTTATGTCTCTTACTGGAAACTCGTTTGGAGAGAAAGATCAACGCAAATTACTCACAAACGATGAAATTAGCTACTGTGATACGACCGACTCTGGGGGTCTAGGTGTTCGGAGTAAAAGTACACTCTCTCAGCGCGAGGGGCTTCGAAATTGTTTTCTGAGTTCGTTCTCCGTCGTAGGGGTAGGTGCTGGGCTCTCGTTATCTCAGCGTGGTCGCTTTCAGAAAAGCATGGAGGCAGGCTCTCTTAGTCATAAGCAGGTGAAACTCAAATTACTTGAGCTTTTGCAGTATTGGATGAGTTCCCCAAGTGTGCGTTTACAGATTCACACAATTGTACAGGATATTCTTCTTCAAGCAGGACTGAATCCCTCACCGGTGCAAGAGGCATGGCATGAGACATGTAGGCCGAGTTATTACAAAGATGAAGAGACCTCTAATATGGGAGGAGCCCAGAAAAGTGATAGTAATTCCGTGACTAATTCTAGTACATGCGTTGGTTCGCATGAGACTTCGTCGGAGATTCATTTATCCCGATCCAGCCCCTTAGAAGGTCAGAAAGGCTCTGATGCCAACACTGCAATAGACCCGGACCATTCATTTCATTCCTTTTCTACACCTTCTCCACCAGCATTCGTACGGACATCTAAAACCTCACCGCGAGGCGTAATTTGCAAGGTTGAAAATATTACTCGACAAGAAACAGAATGCTTACATAGTCTATCGCAGAAAATTACGCAAGTGACATCTGGAGGACGAAATACAGCATCACGCTTGTCCTATTCTCCATCCTCAACACATCGATCTCTATTTGACGCGGGGGAACCCCAACACAATGGATCGCTAGTATCACAAAATTTGATAGTTAATGTACTTCACACATCGGGAAAGGAGGCTGAAAAATCCAAAATTGGATACAGTGCAAGGTATGATAGTTGGGGTTCTTTTTCGAGGGAAATAGACGGAGATGTAGCCACTACCTTAGAGGTCAAGGTTTCCAATCAAAAAGCACCCGGCGCAAGTTACAAGGATATTCCTCAGTTTTATTTTCCGCTAGGACGGCCTACTACTCAGGCGAGTGTTATTTCCAGACCTTTAAGTTCCAAAATTCAAAATCCACATTTAAAAATGTTAGAGTCTGTTCCTTTTGTAGGTGCGATGTACGACACCACTGAGCCTCTCTATGATTCAGTGGCATCTTCTGCAGGTGGGGATAAAACTTCAATGCACCGTGATTCAACAATACCCTCGATGTCAACTCTCCGATGTATGGAGGATAAATCTGTTAGTCCATACCTTCATAAAGAATTTTTACGAATTCTTACCCCTCACAGACTGAGCTCCAAGGCTTACTTGCTTGAAAGCCAGCTCAATGCTTTGCAACGATCCCCACATCTCACCAAACGTGAGGCAAGCTACAAGCATTGTCTCATTGAATGCATCGAACGTATTTGTGTTAATTGTTTTGGGGTACCACGTTATTTTGCCTATGTCATTTTATACCTTATTCTGAATGAATTTGCCCTGAATTCGGATATATCACGTCCTCCTGCTGGCGGTTCATTTGACTTTTCTTCTTTCATGCATGGATCAGTTTCATGGGCCTTCATGAAAAAAATTACTGCACAGCATTTGATGGAATTTTATGATGCCTATCTCAAAGGAACGGATAGTATCCGACGAACATTTGACTTACTGATTCTTTCGTCAAATCTCAAGAGCGATGGCGCTGCTGCTGGTAGTCAGAGGTCTCAACATCAGCCTTTTCCTCAGCGGACTACCACACTACGTACGTTTCTTCTACCGGAAGATTTTTCAGAGTACATAGGCATACTACTTCAACACCACCCGGGTCTTTCTTTTCTAAAAAAAACTCCTGAATTTCGTCCCAAATATATGAATATGGTAATTTATAGAATATTCTATGAATTAGACCGATACGACTGGGGGCGTATCACCTTTGCGGCTTTTTCGTCGTCGCGTCTTATGGACGCCTTTCGTCAGGTGGACGCGACCCCAGACATTAACTCTGTTTTACTTTTTTTCTCCTATGAACACTTTTACGTACTCTACTGCCGGTTTTGGGAGCTAGATGAGGATTGTGATATGATGATATCGAAAAAGGACTTTGCACGATACTATCCTGATGACACTTTCAACCCTCTCATCATTCAACGTATTTTTAGTGGAGTCGGTCGCCGTATTCGGTGTGGGGTGGAGGGTTATATGGGGTACGAGGATTTTGTGTGGTTTTGCCTATCCGAGGAGGACAAGTCCACCCCGCAGGCGATCCGATATTGGTTTCGTATTCTCGACCTGGACGGGGATGGTGTTCTGTCCATTTATGAGATGGAGACCTTTTACCACATGGTTGAGGAACGGGTTACACTTCTCGGGGGGAGCCCTGTGTCCTTTGAGGACGTCCTGCGTCAGGGCTTTGACATGGTGCGTTGTCCGGCCTACCGCGGCCTCACCCTGGCGGACCTTCTGTGCAATCCTGAGGCAGCTCATGTCCTGTTGAACATGCTCACAAACCTGGTGAGACTTTTACAGTACGAGCAGAGCGACCCCCTTGTGGTGCACCCAGAACGGCTGATGGGGGGGCCGATGCAGAGTCATTGGGATCGCTTTGCCCGCGCGGAGTATGATCGCATGGCACAGGAAAATGACACGTAGGATGTATAAAAAGGATTTAAATTTAGTCATACTATTAGTACTAATATTAATAATAATAACAAAAAAGAGCCAAGACTTTGAAGGAAAAGCGAAGGCATTTTTTCTTGCGCTACTTTAGGTCTTTCCTTTTAAAAATATGTCTTCTATAGATTTGACTTCAACGCTCTACTTCGCTGTTTGCTGATATTTCCTTTATTATTTTTTGTAGTATTTTTTTTCTCTTTTAGACTTGCTGGTCTGTTAAGAAACTGAATTACAGTGCTCTAAAGGTTGATTTCTTCCTCTCCAATATCATTTAATGATTTTTAAACCATATTGCATAGTTTTTTTTTGTGTTCAAAAACAGGCGTATAAATGTGAAACAAAATGCTAATCAATACCTACTATATTATTTCTACTTGAAGAGTTCTCGATAAAACTTATGTGTTTTAGTTTCAAGAGAATCTAAGTGTTTATAGCACAATTAATATCTATTCACATTATAATCACTCCTCCTTTCCTCCTTTCCTCATTTCTTTTTTTTTCAGCCATAGCGTTCTCATAATTTCCAAATAGCACTACATCGTATGCGGCGCGCGGTATGCTTTCGCTCTCTCGTTAAATCATACTCTAAGGACGTTTCCGGAGCGGATACCCACCCTAGAGGCCAGGAATTTTCGCATGAGCCTCCTCCCCTGATTAAAACCTGCCCATTCAAACTTCTTCAACTCCACGATTGGCAGATCCACGGCGTTCGTGGGGATAGATCAATACTTCCGCCTGCTCTTTTCTACCACGGCGATGTCCTCGGCCCTCGCCCGTTGTTGATTTTGGATCATAGTTTTCCTTCCTCTAGTATATCCAACCACCACGCCAATCAGACTAGTAATAGTAATAATAATAGTAGGGATAGTGGTAGTGGGGCTTATACAGGTGCTCCTTCTCAGATGCCGCTCGATACTTTTCAGAGGGCCGCGGGAAAATACGCGTCGATGATTTCTCATTTGAGGTGGGCCTACGGGGCGGTGTACATCCCGTTGGTGGTGAATCCCGACGACGGAGATGTCCTCGAGCGGAGTTGTCGGGAAGTGACCGCAGTGATGGATGCTTTGGATCTTCGCTGGTCGAACTTTTTAACCCATTCTTACGGAACGCTCGTGGCGGGGCGTTTGGCCACCTCTCGGGCGTATCCACATCGCATCGGCAGCTTTTTTTCGCTCGATACGCCGCTGATAACGGATCGGATGTTTCGTAATGCCAAACACCGCGCGGAGCTTTCGAAGGCCGCGGAGGACGTGAACATCCCCGCCGAGATGGTGTCGTTTGTTCGCGAGGAGTTGCTGGGAGCCCTGGAAGAGGTTCTTCCCTGTCCAGCCTCGGAAGCGGACGGGGAGTTGTATGAGAAGTACTTATTCAACCCTGACGCGATCTACGACAAAGGTGGACTTATCCGTCGGGAGGAGCGCTATATCCATCTTCGACAGCTCTCGAATATTTATCACCCATGGCAGCTGGTGGTTCCCGCGGGCCAGCCGTTGTCGGATCTTCCCCTTCACAAAGAATTTTTCAGACTTCGACGCCCGGCTGTGATCAAGTCGGCCAGATCCCACGAGGAGTTGTTTTCCGATTCCTCAGCCGTCGAACTCGCGGGGGTTCTCGCGGGTTGGATGAATCGTTTTGAGCCGGATTGGATGATTCGGCGTCGTTATGAGCAGGCCGCGAAGGAGATGTCCGCGCTTGTCGTCGACGCGACGGCCTCCAAAACGACGATAAGCCCCGGTGCTGGAGGGAAGCGAAAGAAGGAAAAGAAGTCAAAGACGTGATGAGACTTTTCTGCATTATGGTCTAAACCTTTTTTGAGAGGAAGTTTTGTTTTAAATTGGTTTGTCTTCCCTCTCCTTGTGTAGGTTTACAGCGTCAGTGCTTTCCTTTGACATTTTCTCCCTCTTTTTGTTATTGGTGATAAAAAGAAAAGCTAAGGGAGATCAACTAAGATGAATTGGAATATTTGCACGTGAACTCCATTATCGTTCAGTAAATGATAGTCCTTAAACCGACCCTCGCTAATAGTTGAGTTTTACTCAGTATCTTTTTTTAAAATCACCATTAACTGTTTTTCCTAGGTCTATATCACGATTTTCTTCTAGTGTGATATTTTTCAAATCAGAATTTATGCGTGAAGAAGATCAATGAGTTGGAGCTTATACCTGACTAGCATTTTGTTTCTTTTTCCCCTATGCCACCATTCTTATTGGATTCTTCCCAGAAAAAATAATCATGATAGTATATGGGCTTGATTTTATTGTATTCTACTCTATCGTATGCATCCTCTACGTGAGGTGGTTTCTGTATTGTGGACATTTTAGGCTTTTTAAGGCATTGCGAGTAAAGGCACAAACTCACTGGTTGATATATATATATACCGCATTGGCACTTTCCACATGTAATTGGACTGATGGAATATAAATATACATGACCCAATAAATGTTGGGCAGAAGTTTAATTCTGAATGCATTTTATTACATTTTAAACAAGTACAAGTTATATTCGTATATTATTGCATAACTATTAGCATTCTGCATTTTCATTATACCGTCAAAATTATATTCTTGAGTGCATTTTACTGTTGATTCAACGTTATTATTATTTACCTCATTTGATGAGGGAGGGTGGTGGTAGGAAAGTTATTTCAACAGCTCCACTTATTATTATTATTGTTATTTAATGTTACCCTTTACATTAATCACTATTGATTCGATCTTTCCACTTCCCTTTTTTTAGCATTTCTTATTCTAATCTTTCTTGTATTACGTAAATTCTTACCATGTCCGCTGCCGACTTCGAAGCCGCCGCGGCATATGTTCAATCCTTGCCAAAGGATGGGCCCATTCAGTTGGACGACGATACCAAATTGAAGTTTTACGCCTTTTATAAACAGGCCACTGAGGGAAACGCGGATGGCTCGCAGCCGTGGGCAGTTCAGGTGAAGGCGCGCGCAAAGTGGGATGCCTGGAATGCGATTAAAGACATGAGCGCAGAGGAGGCCAAGGTTGCGTATGTTTCTCTTCTCATTGAAGTCTCGAAGGCCAAAGGCCACCCATGGACCCCGTAAAAAACCTAAGAAGGTCCCAACGCATGTATTTTTCGAGTGCTAAGCAATCCACACTATGAATTATTGAAAGTTTTTTTTTTGGGAGAATGAGCAAAATAGTGTTCGTATATCGAATAAACTAAAAAAATATATATATATAGTACTCATGGACAAGTTTCAAGTTTCGCAATCCCCTCATATGAAAAATTGTTATGCCAATATTTTATTTTTATTTTGGAGAAGTATTGCTTTCCTATACAGTAACAGTGGTAGCTGATTACTTAGTACTGTCCTTCTATCATGTATCTTTAATATTATGACTTTTTAGTTTTATTATATATATATATATTTTTTATTTAATAATTTTTCTGCAATTCAAGTTAATAGCGACACTAATTTTATAGTTAGATTCAATGAATGCTCCTTTTAAAAAGCATTTTAGGGCAGTAATGCTCATTAAGAAGGTAGTAGGCTAAGACAAGTTTCTCTTCTCACTTCACTTTGTGAATGTACTTTTGCTTGCAAGAATTAAAGCCACAATATTGATACCAGTGTAAACGCTAAAAAAAGTTGATATTTTTGGTACTGATACCGAAACGCTTTATTGGGTTAGTCACTAACCCTGATGATAACTATCAGAGACTGATAGTACTTGAAAGGGATATCATATGACTTTTTTCCAAACTGAAGACTTGCCTACCTGGAGAGTTAAATAAACCTTCAAAGGTGTGCCACCCTCATGCTAAAAATTTCGCCAGTGAATTGTCTGAACGTAAATTAGTATTTTACGTCTCATGAAGCCTTTTGGATATTGAATGCTTCAAATTCTAATCGCTAACATCACTATTCCCCCTTTTTTATGTAGTTCTTAGATAAAAAACGAACCAACGAGTCAGTTAGTCTGCGCGCATGGTTGGATTGAGTGCGGAACTATTTTGCATTTGGCGGCGATTTCAGAGTTCATTAGCGTGGTTAATAACCATCTAAAGATAAAGGCGAAGATTGAGGATTTGACTAAAAACTTACCACCGGTGTTCCTACCAGCAATGAAAATACGTACCAACGTCTTCTTGTGAGTGGATATTTCACATAGCGTCTAATAATCTTTTGTCACTAGATGAAAAATTCCTTATAAACATTTTTATCACTGCAGATGCGTCCTCGGCTACGAGTGAAATCTAAAGAGTTGCCAAGACCCCCTAAGAACAAGGGAGTCATAGGGAACAATAGAAATGAGTTATCAAAGGGGTACATATTCTATCTTCAATACTTATATAAATGCATTGAAAAGGAGAATAGATAAACTTGAACAATCTTTTATGCATAATGGCAAACTTAATTTCTTTTCTTATTTATTTTACCAAGTCAACTGTGTGAAATCATTTTATAACGCACATACACCCACATATATTTTTATGAATAACATTTCATTGAGTAAAATGTTAAGTAAAAATATATACATAGATATTTTCAAATAATCATGCTTTATGTGGGTTCTTTCCCTTAATTACTTGTTTTTTATACTTTAATTTTATAAATAATGATTCAGATATTACCTTTATATACCACAATCGATATATTGATTTGGTTATAGAGTCACATTTGATTTCAACCATAATGTTAACGACTGCGAAAAAAATAACCCTATTTCTCTTTGTATACCTCTCTTTCTTCTTCCTGATAAATACAGTACAGTTTCTCTAACCGGAATATTTACCAAAAAGTGTGCCTTGCGTTCGCAGCATAGATTTAGCAATTATCCCTTTCTCCTACATATAGTGAGAACAACAAATTAACAATAAAATCATTATCAAAGTTGTTTCTGTGTAAATTCGCTCATTTAAACTTGTTTTGGTTAGGCTATTAGTAAGGAGAGTTATTATGCGCAACATTCATGACGACCTATCATTTTCTGAACCCCCAATTGAACCTTTTTTGCCGAGTCGCCCTTCACTGCTAGGATTACCCAATTCGGCTAGCAGTGGTGGTGGGGGCATCAGCCCTCCTCCGCGCGGTCTGGTAGTGCTTTGTCTTTCTCCCAGTCGATCCACAAACGCAACGAGGCATGCACGCCGCAGCCGACTGCGGCTTCTTTCGGATTCTACCACTCCCTCAGGTCCCGTGGCAGGCGGCGGTCCTCCAGCGTTGGGATCCTCTTCTGCGTCTTCGGTAGTAGGCATCGCAATGACTAACCCAACGACCTCTTTATCCCCTTTGGTAGCACGCCCTGGTCATCCCTTAGCGGTCTACACCCCTTATGTTATAGTTGAGGGGCAGCGGAACGACGCTGTGCCCTTCCCCCCCTCCCCTTCCCTTTCCCATATCAGTTCTTCTCAGTTAAGACGATCTCCTTGTCCTACGGCAACTTCAACCCCCAACACGAATTTCCCTCTTTCCACCACGGAATCCTTGGCGGGACAGATTTGTAACGGACTCCGCAGTGGGGCCCCTGTGGATTTGAACGCTCCCTTATCTGTCCTTTCCATGGCTGAGGGAAGAGGAGGGGAGGTGATTACGATTGATCTGGGTGCCTCCGGGGCTGGTAAGACCCATTTCCTGCTTGGATCGACTTTTCCTTTTCCTGAGTACGAGGGGGGTGATGGGATCTACCACAATTCAATGCCCGATGAAAGCCTCCTCACTGCGGTGATGACGAGGCTTTTTTCGGGAAATATTCACTCACATGAGGTTTCTGCGATGGGAAAAACGGGCCGTGTGGAGGTTGCAGTGAGTGCCATTGAGTTGAGGGATGCCACGGTATTTTCCCCCGTTTCCACAGCGTATCACCCAACCGAGGCGGTCGACTTACTATCCGGGAGAAGCGATCTCTATCTGCCGGGATCTAATACCGCCTTTCCGATAGATTTTTTTCCCAAGTCGGATGAAAAGGCGAAGTTCGATGGGGTTGGAAGCTCGCCAACGGGATGTTTTATGGAGAGCTGGACGGATATACCCGCCGCGCAGTATGTTTGCTGCACCTCCACCGTGGAGGTGCGGCGTGTGATCGGGGTAGCGCTCTCCCGCAGCCTCGGCTGGGATCCTGTTCGTGTGGATGGAAAAAGACCCGATATGCGCATGGAGAGTGGAAAGGAAGGTGAAAGTGAAATGAGGGGCGAGGTGGATGGGGACAGGGGGACATGGTTTCTGAGGCCCAAGGATCGTAAAGAGCATAGTCACCTTTTGTTCACTATTCTAGTGCGGCAGAAGACAGATATTTTAGGGGATAAGTGTCATGTTGATACTTCTCAATCCACTTCTTCTAAACGGCGCTCAATCGTTGGTGTGTGGCGACTATGGGACTTATCGGGTCCGCTTCCTTATAATGAGGTTATTGGAACTTCATCCTCAATACCTTCTTCATGTTCTGAAATTTCTTCCTGGACGTTTGCCGATTACACTTATCATGCCCTCAGACAGTGGACACTAAGCCTTGGATGTGTGTCCTCAGATTCACAAGATACAAAGAATAAGGTCGATGTACGCAATCCATCCGTGCGTATGATTCAGGCGTGTATGGAAGAGTCATGTTCAACATGTATTTTTATTGCGTCTTTATGCCAAGATGCTTCCTTCGACAAACTTAATGAGAATGTGCTCAACTCAGCTGCTGCGTGGCAAGCATGGGCCATTCGTTCACGTGAAGGGCAAAATAATTCCAGTGAAAGGGCTTTCCAATGTATTTCTCAACGCGAGGAGAACCTCCACGCGGCTCGGCGTGTACTTAAGAAATTTGCCGTGAATGCGCATACATACTTACACCAAATCGAAATGTTGCCTCTTTTTACGAAAAGGGAACTGAGAAGGCGTCATCTCGCTTCGGGTTCAGTGATTGCACATAATTTAATAGAGAGAATGTCGAGTGTAGAAAGGGATTCTGAAGGGGGAGGATTCATCTCTACCGATGTGATTCACGAATTCCAGGGTACAGACAAAGAATTTCCGAGAGCTGAATCATCTCCTTCCATTAAGGCGACCTCTCCGAACCTTGTCACCTCGCATGACACCACTATAGATAGTGTTGGTCGGAGTCTTAAATTACCGAACCGTAGGGTGGAGGAGGTGCAACATCCCATACCACCACCACCACAGCCTGATCCCATTCATCCCTGTTCGTCACCCTCACCTACCACCTTCTCCCACACCGACCTCCCCTCGGCAGTTGACCCGTACCAGCCCCGCCCCCTGTTAGACCCTCACCAGGGGGAGACGACCCATGATACGGGCTGTGCCAGCGGTCGGCGCACTGTTCCGACGCCGCCCTTGCCTCCTTGGGCCTCCCCCGGTCCCGTGACGGACGTTCTGGGGGAGGCCCCGTCCCCGACCTTCCCCCACCTCACCCATCTGTTACAGCATTGGTTACTCGAGTTGCGGCGTGGGGTGGGGACTTCGGTCCCCGACGAGGCAATCTTTCCGCAGGGGTGCGCGATGGCCGTGGGGGGGCACTCGCCGGGCTTGAGCACGCGAACGAGCCTTGACGATGATTCGCAGAAAACAAGGCTTTGCATCGCCTCTACAGAGGCCGCGAGACCGGTAAACCCTTTTGCGGTAATGCCGATTGGGGACCCTGGGGTGAGGGGTGCGTTGCTCGAACGTTCTATAACCGGGGATGTGCGCCAGCCCCAGTTTAGCCTTTTGATGGAAGCTTGGAGCAAGGCGTGGGGGGCGACCCAGACCCTTCAAACGTGTTATGCCGATGACCTCCGGGATGCTCAGAGGGAGATGGATCAGCTCTGGCAGGTAGTGATGATGGAAAGACAGAAGAGCCAGTCCCTGCTAGGGCGTGTGTCCCAACTCGAGCAGCAGCTTCGCATTGCCACCCGAAAGCTTTCATTTTACGAGAGACAAGAACGCGGTGGGATGGGGGGGGACGAATCAAGCGCACCCCCTGCAACGCCTCGCAGTGCAGAAATTTCGTCTTTGGGGGCACTTTTGGGGAAGGGTGAGCAGAATGGACAAAGGGACTCAGCGCAATCCAAGCCGTCCTTGCATCCCATTTTAAGAAAAAGAGATTTAAGTAGCAGCGTCACTGACAGCACGGCAACACCGCATGTCGCCTGTAGTTTTATTGAGAAAAGTATCTCCGAAAGGTCTCTCGAGCATTCTGATTCCACAGCTTTCATTGATGCCAAATCAGTGAGTTCCGAGGCGGCGCAGTACTTGTCGAACCTCTTGTCCAGGGCCTTTAGATTTCGGGAATGTGGTCGGGATCATGAACAGGACCAGTTTAAACCTTTTCGATCCAACGAGGCAGAACCCTTTTTTGAGGTCCAGGTTGTGCCGTGGCCCGACTATCCTTCGCACGACGAATCCATCCTGGAGGAGGACATGAATCTTTCAGCAATTGCTCAACCTCAAGTCACAAATCTGTTTTCTGGGAGTTCGACAGCTGCCGGTCTGCCTTGGGATGAATCTCTCAAAATGTCCACAAAAAAGTCCAATGAACTACGTCCACCTTTATCACCAGCATTTAGACAGGTCACTGTACTTGATAAATAGCTTGAAAGAGGTCTTCACGCCGCGGCATCTTACACTGTTAGTGAGTATGTGTGCAATCCACCAAGCAGTATTCAGGAAAAGACTTTAGTGAATATAGACAAGACACATTTGGGAGTGTCTATTTTTCTTCAAGTAAAATCACAACGAACTCAACAGGTCAAATGAGAGGTGATGTGATTTCTTCGTCACACTACGATTTGCACGATATTGTGTGGAAATCGAAGGATTATACTCACAATGCCCTTGCTTTCGCTGCTGCCTTTAGATTTCTTCATGGCATGATAACACAACATCTTAAGGCATGAACAGGAGTAGAGGAATATCCTTGATACCTGGTTAATAGCCGTCAAAAGGAAGAAAGAAAAGGGCGATTGTCTAATGCAATCGTCAGGCTACGGGAAGCATATGGGGTGGTAAGTATGCAACTTCAGCACACCACAAAGACGGAACGTAAAATTTTGGATTTATTGGTTTTGTCATAGATTTGCTCTTTCTTTATCTACGGATATATTATAAATATTACTACCTCCCCCTCCCCCGATTTATGCATATGCATCGCAACTGGCGTGCTGATTTTAATCACTATTCTTATCCTCAAGTTGAATAAGATTCTCAGCTTCTATATATAAAACCGTTTTGCTCATTTGTTTATTTTACAATTGGGTCTTGGTCTTATGTCAAAAAATTTCCATTCATTTTGTCTATTTGCTTTTGTTATCTCGAATTCAAATTGACAAGCCAGAAGATTGTATCTAGAACACAGCTATCTCTTAATGGGAGAGGGGGAGATAGAATTCGGTTATAATTTAAACTTTGAATCTTCCCGGAGATGGCTTCGTTATTCTGAGGGATTTCTGAGGTTGCTTTAACTAGCTTATTACCTTTTTTCAGAGAGTACATTTCTTCAACACGCGTATCCTCACCACATCGATGTTCTTATGGCCAAATGGTCTGGACGATGATTCCACATGGAATCTTTAGAATATCTGCGTGTGCATGGAGGGTATTATTAGCAAAGGTCTAAAATCCTTTGAAGTTACCTTTTTTTTTTCGAGATATTTGGGGCTTACGTGGTGTGAGAAAATGGTGACCTCAAGTTTATGAAGCTCGTCAACGTACTAAGGGCCTTAGTTCGTTCCGGCAGGGATGACTTGCCGGCCACGATAAGACAGAGTAGAGTGTTTACACTTGCACAAGAGTTCCAGGATGACGTCTTGGGGTATCTTCAGAAGATACCCCACTTCTTCCGTTTGCCGAGGTTCAAAATACTGGTAGTGCACGCACGATTGGATCCCAGTAGCCTTCTGTCTAAGCAGTTCGTAAGTGCTGTAATTCGCATGCGGATCATCATGGAGCGAGCCCCATATAATAGACTAAACAATGCGTTCCGGAAAAATACCCATTTCCAACACGATCTGGAGCCTCTCAAAAGTTCAACCCACACATGATAATAATGAGAGCGATACTATCGATAAGGCCAGTTTTTCTTTTGGAGGAATTTTTATCGATGTCGTGGAACGACGCAATACTGGAGAGCACCTTCGCCTTGTTAAGACACTGGGGTGCATGTAGAGTAATCGCGCCTGTTGTGAACCCACTTTACCAATAAATGTAAAGTCGATCGATCGAACGTCAATTTTTGTGAACGATAATACCGGCCTGGATCACCACGGACATGATGAGGAGGGCTCTAATCAGGGGTGTGAGGTTCAGAAACGCGTGTTTTTTTTCTTCGCGAGTACGAGGGCTTGACGGTGGCGTTTGACTGATGTAAAGCGAAGGTGGGAGGTATGATCCCCTAGCTTTTGGTCTCAACGCAGGCGATGTGTGCGATGGTGCGCGAACGATCTTGACTTTGTAAGATTAGACCCTACGGTTTGTTCCAGCTTACGAAAGCACAAGTAAATAATAAATAAAGTGTATGCATATTGATATCTTTTCCATGATATTAGAGCGATTTTTAAGACGTCAATATTTCTTTAAAATCAATATGGATATTTTTTAAAAATTGTTTCTCAGCGGCTGTTAAGTGACTACTGAGTATATATTTCTTAATTTTGCACATTTAGAGTCCAAAAACTTACTCTTTTCTATTTCTTGTGCGAATATTGCAGATTTTTGTTGATGATCTCTATTTTGCTATCAATAGAGGATTTTACTCAAATGTTATGTTCTTTCGTTGTATTTTACACTTTTTTGAATTCCCCAAATCATTACGAAGTATTCATCTTGTCCTAGACTTCCCTTTTAGACATTTTTTTAATGTTTGAACCCTAGCAGCTCTTTTTTTATGTCATCTTATTGTAAAATCTGCCGATCTCTTTTCTGGGGTTCCCATTCCTGTCCTTTATCCACGCCTTCCGAGAGTATGGCGTGTCGCGATCACAAAAATTACCACACCGCCGAAGATGCCCTCCCACACGCCTTTGGAGAGGACTATCACAGCGAAACACCGCCTCGATCGCGATTATCCTTTCCGAAATGCGGCATTTCGCCGTTTCAGAGGCGCTCGGCCTCCTGTTTCGCATCGAATGGCCGATTATTGTCAGGCGGTCAAACGCGAAAGCCGCATTTCTCATTTGGCGCCTCTGTAGGCCCTGAACGATTCTCCTCGAGGTCTAACGGCCTTCCCTTATCCTCCTCTCGCGCCCCGTCGGATTTAAAACCGCAAAGTCGAAGTGCCAATGTGGATCGAACGAGGCCATCGAGCGCGCAGGATGGGGGGCATTTTTCCACATTTTTTTCTGCCAGGCCGGGGGGCTCGCCTCGTTCGCGATCCTCCCCGCCCTGGTCAACCCTCATGAGAAGGCGGAAATTTCCCCGCGGGGGTTCCCCCAACGGCTCCTTCCATCCTCGCAAGGGGAATTCGTTTTTTCCCCCCCGGCGGATCATTCCCGCGGGGGGAAACTCGACCCGCGGGAGTTCCACCTCCCCCGAGACAAGCGCGGGGTCGTCATCCATACGGCGCATTTTAGACCGCATTCGGGGGATTATTCATTCGGATGAGAAGCGCCATCGACGGCTCCCCCCGAAAGGCCCTTCGGGGGATTTTATTGGCCCCCACGCGGGGATTTTCACGCGAGATTCGACCGAGCGCGAGGGGCGGGGGGAAAGGACGCGATTTTTTCGCAAAAGCGAGGGAAGTGCGGTCGAGCGGGAATATTTTCCCCCCGACGGCGAAACAGACGTGGGGGGCGGGCGAACCCCCTTCGAGGGCGGGGATTCCCCGTCCGTGATTTGGACGGGCGATCCCAACACGAATTCCCCTCCACAAACTTCAGCTTCGACAAACGCGGTTTTATTACCCCCCCGGCCCATCCCAAAGGCCGGGCCTTCTACAAAAAATGTGAAAGATGGGTGGGAAAGGCAATCGCCGGGCAAAAATCCGGCCGTTTTTCACGATTCGACGTCATTTGATGTTTTTTCCACCTCGACGGCGCCGGAAAGCGGCCGGAGTTTTTATAATAAATTGAGAAGGGCGCAGCGGTGGGAAAAAACGCGGGGGGATGCGTTGGCGAAAAGTTTTGGCGAACTCCGCGCGGCCGTTCAGGAGGATATTCGACGTCTTGACGGGCGTTTGACGGATCGCTTGAGGGGCTTTTCATCCGACGGGACGGCGTTCGCGGGGTCGATATCGCCCCATTCCAACGATAGAAATGTTTTTTTTCAGGCCATTCAAGCGGCCTCGCCGGTCGAGAAAAAGGCCCTCGCGCGACTTTTGATGCCAGAGCTCAAAGAGCTTGTGGGGGATGAAATCCACGCCGCCGTGCGGGTCCATTTTCCGGCCGAATTGCCAAAACCGTCGATAAATGCGTTAGAATCCCAGTTAAAGACATCTATTGATGAAAAGATGGCAGTCCTGGAGGATCGCATGCGGGGTTTAATCCAAAAAAACAAAGAAATCTCCGCGAATTGTCTGGAAAACGTATGGCGGCGGGACTTTTCGGCAATTCTCACCCGCGAGCTCGACCCTTTTCATCGCCAAATTAGTACCCTCGAAGGGGTTGTTCAGGGCTTCGCGGGGGATCTCACGGGGGTCCTTCGACGCCAAAAGGACATCGATGCGCAGCTTAAACAACTTCAACAAACTCTCGAAGAAGAAGCAAAAAAAGAAAGGACGCGGGATTCGATTTTAAACGCGGCGGCAAGTCTTCCCGCGAGGTATTATTCCTCAGCGGATTGCATTCGGCTCGAGGTGGTGGAGCCCGCGCTCGAGCACGTTCGTCGTCTGCTCGTCGCGCATGAAAAGATGTTAAATACGATCGTCGAGCAGCGCTGTGTGAAGGTCGAGCATAATATTGAAAATCATTTAACCGTCTGGGAGCAGAATTTGGTGGGATTTCGAACGAGATTGAATTCATTTCAGCGAGATGTCCGCGGCGCCTTGACGGAGCTTTGCCAGAATTTAAACGTGGCTTGCCCAGGGTTTTAGCGCGAACACGCCCTTCTGTGCATATTCTCCAATCATTTAGAGGTAATTGAGGTGTTTTTATTTATTTATTTAGATGCGATATTTTTTATTTCCTTCCGTGTTCATTAATAATATTTTTCCCTTTGGAAAAACTAACAACTAGATATAGATTCTCCCTTGGCTCGTAGAAGAGCGATGAATTAAAATTTCTAACAGTGTAATGGAGGCGGGAGGGTGGGGGGGAGGGGAAGGGGCCCTCTATTGAAGTAATCCTCCATGTATGATATCACTTACCGGCATTATACCCTTTACATGACGGCTTTCCCTGTGATGAACCGTCCAAACCCCATTTTATCCTTTTTTTTATAAATTTTACTCCCCCCCTCCACTTTCTTTTATTGATTATTTATTGATGTAGGGGAGAATTTACTTTAATATCTTGAGCCACCGATGCGCAGATCTCAACGGTGGATGGTAAAATCCCCACGAGGGTGCGAGAGGGCCGCCATTTCCGCCTGGCGCCGCTTTTCGACCCCTTTGGGCCCCCCAAAGCGGGCGGACTCGTCATTTTTTCTTTTTTCTTCCCCTTTTTGGGCGGGGATTTCGTCGGCTTTCTTTTCATTTTCCCCCACCCCGGCGCGGCGGGCCAGGGGTTTCCAAAACATCTTCCACGATCCCGGGGACAGGTTTTTGGCCCTCACGCAGGAGCTTGATTTGGTCAAAATCGCGGCGTTCGCGCGGGAGGGGGGGGAAATCCGCGAAATGGATGAAAATGCTGAAAAAGATGAAAAGTCTGAGGAGGATAAAAAGGCTGAAGAGGGCTTTCTTTCGGAGACGCGGACTCGTCGCCTGGGAAATCACCTGCGGGATGGGTTGTGTTCGGTCAACGCGGTCCTACGCGTGATGGTGGGGGATGAGCTGGAGAAGATCGAGGGCATGAACGGGCAGATTACCCATTCGTGTAAAATAAACCTCCCTGTGCGCGATCTCGACGCCGGGTGGGAGGTTTTCCACCTCATCTGTGCGCATCGCAAGAGTTTTTCCCACCAGCAGTGGGAAGAAGATGTGGTGCCGGAGTTGAAAGACTTTGAGGCCATCATGAAGTGGACAGATGATCCACGCGTAGCATTTTTTTAGATCATGTGTTTTAATCAAAAGAGGGAATATGTAATTTACATATAAACATATTCAACTTTTTTTTTCCCTTCATCTATAATAATTTTTAATGAGCCTGTAATCTCATTTAATATATATATAAAGATATAAACATAAATAACGACTAATTGCTTTTTTTTTATTGATTTGATTGTACACAAAGCTGGATGGTAATACTTTTCTTTTCCTCCTGTAGATGAAAAAACATTCATAGACGCATTCACACAAATATAGAAAGCAGTAGAGGGTGATTGGTTAATACAAGATACGATTATTTCAACTCTCTACTGCGTCATACATTCATATAGTGTATAGATATTTGAATGGATAAACCCTGTCCTAGACAACCACTAGAGGATGGAAGCGCAGGCCTTGGTATGCATGATGAACCCACCCGGTCGCTAAAAATAAAATCCATTCCAACCAATCAATCTTCTTCTCATTCTGAACTGTCTTTGTCCTTACAAGCCAAACCTAACAGCGATGGTCAGTTTCTTAAGGCTGAACTTGAAAAGGAGCTGAGGGGTAATCCAACTTTCCCCGAGAATTCTCATCGCGAGGACGATCCTTTATCATTACAGAATGCACTAAACTACATTGAGACTTCAAATTCCATTTTAGGATCAATCCCCACGCCGGGTGAATTTCCCCACCTCAACGATCCCGGACGATTTTCGTCCGAGACGTTACTTCCGTTTTCCATCGACCCCATGCTTTACGAGGATCCTGAAATAGAGGACGAGGATACAATCGAGGCGCACCACGCGCGAGGCCGAGTAGGGGCCTCTATTATGGCCGCGATGATGAATTCCCATCGTGTGGGAACCCCTGAGGGGAATGGCGGCCTGGGGAATATCCGTAAAGACACAGGGCCTGGGAAGGACTGGACGGCACCCCGGGCGACTGAAAGCCCCCCCCCGCCCTGTTACAAGGGAGGCCCCTTCTCAATTCTCAGGGAAACCTCTCAGGGGTGTTCTCCTTTGGTGGATCCATCCTCTCCGTTACATCTCCCGACAGGTGAGGTTTTAGGGCAGTCCTCCTCCCCGTTACATCTCCCGACGCGTGGGGTTTTGGCCTATCCCTCGTTGGGGATGGCGAGCTTTCGGATGGTGGGGGATTCGGGCCGGACCTGTTGGGTGACCGCCCCCCGTCATCGTCCCGGCCGACGACGTTTGGAATCTTTGCAGGGCACTCGGGATTATCGAGAAAGTGGAGGAGACAGTAATTTTAATTATTCTGAGGAGGAGGAGGAGGGATTCTCCTCAGCGAGTATGGACGACGTCGACGCGGTCCCGATTAGATGGCAAGGACCCTCGTCGTTGGGTCTTTTAGGTGGTTCTACCCGCCTTAAGGATCTTTTCCGCCAGCTCGACGAATCCAAGGCGGCGGCGGAGGAGAATAAACGGCGGCGCGAAAACGCTGATCCGACCGAGGCTTTTTATCCTCCTCCTCAACCCTCTTCGTCTGGTTCGGATGAGCTGTGGGTGGTGAAGTATGCACCTCGACACTTTCGCGAGGTCCTCAGCGATGAGGCGATCAACCTCCGTTTGCTGCGTTGGTTAAAAAGTTGGGACCCTTATGTCTTCCAAGGCGGCGAGGGCCATCCTGACGAGGCGGTTCCCATTTTCTCCCCTTCCTCCACTGGATCTTCGCATTCGCATCCGAATTCTTCATTTTTGGAGGGGAAAGGGGGGCCGGAGGGGGAAAAAAAAGAAAAACCACCAGTTTTTCTTCCCCTTCCTCCTGCGGAGCGGCTGGCCCTGATGGTGGGTCCACCAGGGGCCGGAAAAACGACGCTCGCGCATATTTTGGCCGCCCACGCAGGCTACGAGGTCGTTGAGGTCAACGCGAGTATGGAGCGGACATCCGCGCAGCTGGAAGGGATTATTCGAATGGCCGTTTCCTGCGCAGGGTCCTCCCCGTCTTCCGCGCGTCTTTTTTCCCGACGTCAAGGCGCTCGAGGGAGGGAGGGGCGAGACGATAGTTCACATTCAGAGGCCCCTCTTTCGTTTACCGGACCCCGCGCATCTTCCGCGTCGTCGGTTTCGCATTCCACCTCACTGATTGAGCATCTTTTACGTCCGAAATGTCTTATTATTGACGAGATGGACGGCATGGCGACCGGGGTCGGGGAGCTACTCTTAAATATGGAGATCCGCCGGCCTGTTTTTTGCCTTTGCAATGACTTCTACGCAAGCTCGCTGTGGGGATTTCGAAAGCGATGCCAAAATGTCTTTTTTTTCCCCCCCATTCCCCCGCAAAGATTACTTTCTCGATTAAAGGAGATCGCAACAAAAGAGGGCCTCGCGGTGAACCAGGCGGTACTCGCCGAGGTGATTCAGGCGAGCAATGGCGACGTTCGGAGCTGTTTGAATACTCTACAGCTTATAAAGTCCATGCCCTCCTCTTCTTCCACAAATTCCCATGATGATAATCAGCCGCATAATATTTCAACCTTTGAGGAGATTCGTCAAATTCAAGGAAAAGACGTGCAAGTAGATCTGTGGGAGGGGTGGCGACGAGTCTTTCATAAGATGGATCGCACCAAGGCGATTCAGCAGTTGAAGGAGTTCGGTATCGACTACGACGATCTCATCGCTTCTGCATCTGCGAGAGGCCATCCTCTTCCTCCTCATAATTATTATCATTCTTTTGATCAGGAGGATGGGATGCCGATAAATCGGAAACGAATCCGTGAGGAGCCTCGAAATGCGTTCGTAAATGATCTTTCCAACGTGAAGGTCGGCGAACGATCGACGATTTCCTCACGATCGGCTCCAGTTAAGGCGGCTTATTTTCGTTTTGATCCTGGATATATTTATCTTTCCCGTCTCCTCGGGCAGCGCGCGGGGGGTTTATTCGGGGGCAGGACTTTTATCGACGGCCTGCAGGATAATTTTTTAACCCAACCTTACAGCGATTACGTTTTTGAACACACTAACGCCGTAGTGGAGGCCTTTTCCACGCAGAATCTTTTCACTGCCAGGGGTTTTGCGCACAACACCCCCGGTGGGATCAACTTTGCCGCGAAGTTTGAGCTCATTACGGCGCTTATTTGTCATCACCATTGCGGAGGACGACCCCTTTCAGAAGGAGGAGGGAAATTTGCCGGAAAAGGCGGATTGCACTTCCCGCGTGAACAGGCTCAGGCCCAGAAGCTTTTAAATAACTCGTTGAGCACGTTGAGGGCTTTTCGCGAGGGCTGCACCTCGCTGGAGGCGGTGAATCATCTTTGGGGAATGGAATCTCTCGCCGGGGAGGTCTGCCCGCTGCTCTTGCGTAGTCTTTTCGATTCCCGCCTTCGTTTGTTTTCCTCCGCTTCTTTGTCGTCTTCGTCGCCTTCTTCGTATTGGACTGCGGATTTGAGCAGCTTACCGGCGGTCGATCAGGGGTATTTAAAGGCGGCATTAGGGCGTCATGTGGTATATGGGCTTTCCTATCAAAAGCAAACTCATCAGGATTTGTATTTCTTTAATTCACTTTTAAATAACGGGGGAGTGAGCAATCGGGTTGGATTCGGCTCGACACCAATGACAAATGGACCTCTTTCTTCTTCCTCGCCGAGTAGCTTAGGGGAGGAGGGGGGCATACGCTCAGAGGAGACGTGGGTTTTGACGCCTTCCATCGATCACGTCGGAGGGTTTCATCGGCATTTTATTCGGGAAAATACCCGAGATCTTAACGAAACTTTTAAATTAACCTTAAACTCTTCTTCATCAGTATCCTCAAATGGTATGATTGAAGCGCGTCCGGTATTACCTCTTTACATGACGATGAAGGACGAGATTAAGCAGATGCTCGTGGGCGCGATTCAGCGGCATGCTATTATGCTGAAAGCTAAAGGATCTTTTTCATCTTCATTGCAAGGGGAAAATCACTCTAATTTGAGTTTGAATAACCCAGGGAGTGCTTCTAACGCTATGCGTGGTGTGGATAATATTAAACAACCAGCCTCTCCTTTATCAAAGCGAGAATCCACGGAAGATTCTATCAAGGATGAAGTGGGTTCTTTCACTATTTCCTCCATTGCAAAAAAGGCGTTGTTAAATGGAAGTATATCCTCTGGAAAAGAAACATCTGAAAAGACGTTAGTTTCTGGCGTAAAGCGTGATTTTTTCGGTCGAATTATTTCGTCTTCTCCTCGAACGGGAGGAGGGGCTTTAAAAGGTTCTTCCACTCCAACCTCTTCTTCTTTTAATAACCTTGCAGCATCTCGCTTAGCACCTTTAAAGACCCCCGTACGTTATATTTACCACGATGGTTCCACCAACGCCGTAAAATTTCCAGCGACTATTCACGATTTTTAACAATCTAAGCACGCGCGATATTCGTAGTATTTCTATTTTTATTTTGCCAGCTCTAGCGTGTATATGGTTTCTTTCTTCACAGATTCAATTGTTCTTGCAGGTTTTCAGGTAAGATCGAGTGTACTCGTGATTTTTATTTTATAATGGAGAAGGTGCTAATCTGGGTTATTGATCATTCCTTTGATGTGCTCTATTTTCCGAATGATTTATCTATGGCTTACACTCCCGAGATGTTTTCATCTAAAAGCTTTTAGAGGGGTTAAAAGCTGAAACCATAACAAAAGTGAACATGAGACTGCAACCTAGACAACAGGAATATTAATAATCTACTAGTCATACTTTTACCACTCATTGTGTGGGGGCGGCTTCAAATTTTGATTTTTCTTTTGTCATTTAAGTTTTCTTCCTTTCCCTTTCCCTTTACCTTCCTTCTTTTTATTCTAAGCCTCTGGTTTTAGCAAAAAGAGGATATTTCATTACACGCGTATGGGTTTCGACATTAAACCCAATAACAAATATAAAGCTTTATACACACAAAAAACGAAATAAAATACTTCCATATCCTTATACCCTTGTGTTCGACCTATTTATATATTTATCCAAACACACATACATATATCTTTACGTATAGACATCATACAGATTTTTACATTTCCAAGCTATTTTTTTTCAATCAAAAAAAAGCTTCTATCTTACAATCAATTAGATTCACATCTTATTGGACACCGGCTTACCTTTCGGTACGTGTTCAACTAACCTCCACTAGACGCATTCATACACTCGAACGATAGTGAGAGGGGTGAACGCCGACGCATCCACAGGGAGGCCTCTGTTAATAGACATCCCCTCTTTGCGTATTACTCTTACTGCCTTGCTGGCTTTCTGTTACGCATTGAGGATTTTCAGGTAAGGATGGATAGCCCTCCTCCGTGGTCCAGCAGCCATCAAGGGTATCTTGTCTTCCCCTTTGCGGCCTCCGCCGCTCCCCCCCTTTCCGAGACCTCCTCTTCTCAGCCACGGGCCTCCTCGGCCCCCCTTCTCTCCTCCTCTTCCGCGATCCCACGGGACTCCCTGCCACTGCTTTCCGCGCCTTCGGCCTCGTCCTCTCCGGGGTTGGAGCCCCCCCCTCCTCCTCCCCCTCCCCTCCTCACACCCCCTCGTCAGCTCCACTCCTTCAGCCAGAGGCCCCAGTTCTCCTGCGACAGCGCGGGGGGGTCCAGCACGACCCACCCCCACGAGGGGGACCCGAATCGCACGATGTGGAGTATTCCCCCCCCTTACCACACCAATACGAGAAACAGCCATACCTGTAACAGCAACACGAGTAACCTGAATCAGAGCAGCAGCTCGGCCTCCTGTGGGGATAGCAACTGGGCCTCCCCGACGGAGGTCCGTCACATTCGCGCGGCCTGTGGGGCGTTAAGCCAGTCCTACCACAAACAACTCCGACAGCTCAAGGAGGGACTGCGAATGATGACCAAGGAGCGAGATTTCTACTTCAACGAGTTTAACAAGGTGAAAGAGTTGAAGAAATCCTATTCAGACGGCAAGCGGGATTTTGAAAAGGCGATTGAGATCCGAAAGGCTTGGGTTGGAGAGCGAGCGATGATGGAGGTGGAGCTGGAGAGGCTCATGGTGGAAAATGAGCGGCTGCGGTGGGAACTTCGCAAACGGCGAAAAGGAGAGAACTTGCTTCTTGAGTATCGCCCTGCTGGGGCTGGGGGCATGCAGGAGAAGACATCTCTGCAGACTAAAAACACAAAATCCATCTTTAAAAAGGCATCTTCGCCTTCACCAGCTGTTGTTAATAGGGTGGAGGGGATAAAACGAGGAGAAGAAAGACTAAATGAGGGGAATTCGTTGATCCCCAAGCCAGATTTTCATTCGCATCCTCGTTTGGATCCCAACGATGAAGCTCGACGTCTAGATCATACACTTCCTCTTACGCAAGAAAGCTTTCCTGAAGGGCATCCTCATCATTATAATGAGCACCATAATTATCATGATTCTAATGAATATGAGAGAAATGTGGCGGAAGGAGTGGGATGGCCATCCGAGCATCTAATTTCATCGAACGCAGTTATACTGGGAGCTGGCAAAAATAGTGGATTTATCCCAGAGAGCTTTGACAGCTTGCCAACGCCCTCAACGAGTGTTCCTTCAAGCATGCACCCCTCTCATAATCTCCACGATTTCGCTAGTGATGCTATTCGCGCGCCGCGAGAAGAAAAGGAGGAGTATCCTAATCATCAAACCACAACGAAAACAGCAATAAAAATCCACGAAACGAGTAACGATAAGAATAGCTCTACTCCAACCTATGCCATAAACATGAGCAGCTTTACCCTACCTACCACCACCAATATCAATGCGAGTAATAATAATAATGATGATACAAATACTGCCGACAATGCGGGAATAGACTCTTCCACAGCCATCAAACGATCAGTGTCTGCTGATGTTGCTTCTTCCAGAGGTATCCAACCCTCGTCGTCGTTGGTTGCTGCCCTTTCGAATAATCATAATATTAGTAACAATGTTATTAATGCTATGGAAGCTTTCAGAGAAGGATTCCGTAATCATAGTAATAAAGAGGAGGGCTATAGGACTAGCCCTGCCATGGGCACAACTAATACGACTGAATCTACCTTTTCAAATGTTTCTTCTGTGCCTTTTTTATACCACATCCCGCGAACCCCTGCTGATGCGCTGAAAGAGGAACTTCGTTTACTCCAAACGATTCATCAATTAACTCAAGAGAATACTCTACTAAAAGACCGTTTAACGCACTTAATGAGTAATTCGGAAGTGGTATGGGATCGAATTCAGCGAGAAGTAATCATTAGTACGAATGAACATGCAGGTTTAAAACGTCAAATACGGTTTTCTCAGGATGAGGCCGATAAGCTAAGCTTGGAGGTTAATTCGTTACGAAAACAGCTCGAAGAGGCCTGCGCCACCGTCGAGGCCGCGCAGCATGAATCAAATCAAGAAAAAGAAAACCATATTGAAGAATTACGTAAAAAAGATGAATTTCATTCGAAAGAAATCGCTTCTATGAAACTTACGCAGGCTGCGGAAGTAGCGGGGCTACGGCGGGAGATCGATGACACCGCTATGGCAGTTGATCGTGCGCGTTTATCCTTTCAAGACGAGCTCAACGCGCGCTTTTTAAGGATGGAAAGCGAACGCGATGATATTTTAAAAGTCTCTCAAGAATTCGAAAAGCGTTTGTCTGATTCTCAACGTGTGGAAAGGCATCTTCGAGAGGAGTTGGAGGCATTTAATCGTGAAAAGACAACATTAAGTGAGCACTGGGGGGGAGAAATCAAATTGCTCAAGGAGGCTCTGACGCGAGCGAATAGCGAAGGGAGCGAGTTTTTAAGACGGGAAAAGGATTTTTTAAATACCTTTAAAGAGCAAAATGGAAGGATTCAGCAATGCGAAGAGGCATTAGCAACCGCGGAGGCTCATGTGGTGGATCTTAGTGAACAGCTCGTGACGGCGCGTAGGGTCATAGAAGAGGAACTACCCTTGTGGAGGCTTCGCGCGGAGGCCTTGCAAACGGAATTAGTGGAGGTGCGATCTCATGACGACGCTCAGCTACGGGTCCAGCATAATGTGATGACTATTATGCAGAAAAAACACGATCGCGAGGTGGTGGATCATGAAAAACGTTATCAAGAACTTTCAGGGCGTCTGAAGGCGGGAAAATGTCGTTTAATGGCTTTACAGCGAGGGCTTTTCAACAGCAATCCTTCTTCGGACCGAGCTTTACCGACAGCGAAGAAACCTCAGGTTCTGGGGAATATTCGCAAAACGGACCAGCGTGAAAATGTAAAAGGGGATGAAAGTGAAAACAAAGGATCTAGGGAAGGGGATGAGAAAGGTAACCAATTGATGGTATACTGCGATCCGGTGGAGAGTCTTCTATGTTCGACAGCAGCAGTGATTGCACTTACAGGGTCAATTCATCGAGTTAATTGAATACCCATATATAACAATAGCGTAAAAAGTAAAAATAAGTTCTTAAAACGTGTGTTTATATGGGTTTTCTATTTTCTATATATTTTTTATTGAAACCCTTTGATATCATTTAAGGGGGAAAAAAAGTCTATTAATTTTGCGTTTGTGCATGAGTACCTTAGTATTTCACCTTTACACCTACTGCTTACTTTTACACCTACTTCTACTTCTCTTGTATTGTTTTTACTCTTGGCACGCTATTTTCCGCACACCTCTATTTTAGCCTGAGAGGTCCTATTCATACAACCTATTAGATCTTATTTACCCACATCAGCGTCTGTGGTATTCTATTTATTGATTTTCTACTACTTCTTTATTATTATTCCACATTAATCCAAATCTAGTATATACATATATATATATATTATTTGCCGTTTTTTTATTTATTTATAGAAATAGATTCATCACAAAGGGATTTAGTTCTCTTGTGACATACACACACACACACACACACACAAAAGCCACTAGCGAACGACTTCTTCACCTTCAGCAGTCTGTCCTTATCGTGTGCTTTGGGGGGTTTCCCCCTTTTATTTCTTCAGCCATGCCGATGTCGATTTCGAACTCTTTAGGATCCCATCGTGGGAACCTCAAAGGGTCTGCCGCGGGCAATCGTCGGGCGGGGGCTCGTTGGTTTTCCTCGAAAGCCACCGCCAACGCGGCGATTAGAAACGCCCCTCTGACCAAACTCAACGCGATCCCGACAGGGTCCTTTTCCTCCCCCCTTTCTTCGACGCCCTCGACGCCTTCGAAGCGCCCGCGCAGCCCCATCCCCACCCCTGCCGGGACTTTTCAAAGTCCGAAGTCCTTCCGGATGGAGGTTCCTCCAGCACGATCTCCCCTGCTCGACGTGAATTCTTTAAATCATTTCACAGAGGGGCATAGTGGTGGAGAGGTGGATTCGAGTGGTCAACTTTTGATCGCAGACCACCCTAGCGAGGGTCGGAGTGGGATGAATGGAAGTGGGGAGCTCGAGCGGGCGGGGTCGGTGCCTCGCCACGTCTCCCCCGACGCCGAGACCTTTCACGAGCTCGACAAGGAGAATGTTTTATCCTCTTCCGGCCCTTTACCCCATCCCTGTCCCAATTTTTCATCTCCGACGAGTATTCCGCCCCTTCGGGCGCGTTCAATTCGCTTTTTCGAGCCCATTCCATCCCTGCCGGAGCGTAAAGCCCACCCTTTGGAGCTCAGTGAGATTCTTGGGGTGCTTCCCGCGGGTACTTTCAACCATCGCCGGACAACAACGGGGGAGGGGGTTCGAAAAGGCAGTGGCTCCCCCCCCCGGCGGCCTTCCGCCCGCGGGGAGTTTTCCGGATTTTTCGACGAAAAAGGCCGGCTGAGTGAGGTCTCCGCGTACGAACCGACGGAAGGGGAGCCCGAGGTGGATGAGGTTCGGTACTTACGCGAGCAAGCCGCCGGGGAGTCCGCGGATGCGGAGGGATTAGCGTTGGCTGAGCGGCGGCGGCATCGACAGCGCGTACTCGCGTGCTCGCAGCGGTCTCGGGATGCGCTGCTAATGGGGGATTCCACCACGGCGCCTATTTCTTCTGCGTTTTCGTCTTTGGGCGGGGGATTTCCTCGCGTTCGGGTTCCCATTCGAGAAAGTTCCCTCGCGATGGCGTTCCCGCTCAGCGGGTTGACGGGTGAGTCCGCGCTGCCGTTTCGCGAGTGGAGCCTCGCGCCCGCGGAGCTCCGAGAGGAACGTCAGCGCGAGGTGGAAAAGCAGCAGCGAAAGGCGATTTAAAAAGTGCATTCCTATCTCACACATAACAGAGGGTTTATTCGTATCGTTGGGATTTTCTCAGGAAATGAAAAAGGGCATGCATCCGTGGGAGTTAAAATGGAGTGGAAGGAGGAGTCGGTGAATTTATGTATGGTTTACGTTTTATGACAGAGGGATAGTCTAAATAGAACGGGAAGCCCATTAAACATTTTAGAATCTAAATCTATATCTATATCTATATGTTTATATATACATTATATAAATATATATTTATAGTTTTTAGGTATTTGTTGTCTTTCATGAGGTTATTTTAAAAACTACAGACACTTCCTAGATAATTGGAAGCTAATTATCACTTAGGTACTGTTTTTAATTTCTCTCATGCATTGTACTGCCATATTTTGACGGAGTTCACTTCAAGAATAAATTTTACTGTATGATGGAACATATTATATATTTATTATTATTGCTACTACTAACCCTTTTCACACAAAGAGAAGCACACTGGTCTGAATTTCACCACATTTTTTTGCGTTAAATGTAGGAAAAAAGGATTAAATAAATCTAAAAACGTGAGTAAATCATAGGATTGAGCGTATCTTGGTATACTCTTCCAGTTTATATTTTCCAACCTTTTATTTTACTTACGTTTGTTTGTGTTTATTTATCAACTGCACATATCCTCTTCCGCTTTTTGAAAGGGTTTCATTTATTTTAAAGAGTTCTATTGTAACCCTAAACGCGGGTGTTATAGAATTTCATGTGTATATTGTCAAAGACATTGGGTTTTCACTGGAAGGGATAGATGAACCCGTTTGGAATGTACGAATATTGCCTTTGCTTTATTTTGATTTCACCCCTTACTCCAATACGGATAAGCTTTGGGCAACATTTCCTTTTTATCAATTTCATTTTAGTACTTTTTTTCATCTTCCCACTTTAACCAGTAGGATATCAATCTTTTTTTATACAGGAAACGAATACAAAAATATAGACAAGTAGGAATATCCACAACACTGGATAAGTATCAGTATATATATCTATATATATATATATATATCTATATGAATTTATATCTTGTAACATCTATACAAAACTGAATACAAATCTTAGATCATCATCAATAGGAAACGAAAGGTAGCCATCTTAATGTTTTCTTCTTCAGAAGTTGACATCAGCCCTCTGGAGGATGTTACCCACAACGTTTCCGACCGCCTTAATCTTTTGAATAATAAAGGAAGAGGCAAAGGTGATTTAGGATTATGCGAAACATTACACAACTGTACTTCACCATTCATTCAAAAGAATGTTGATAATTCTGACATCTTTTTTTTTAGTTCCTCTGATTCTTCCTCGGAATTCGCTGAGCGGGATTCTTATTCACCTAAACGGTTTTCTTGTGGTTTTGCGTCCCCTGGCAATAGCGTTTTTATGGAGAAAAGAGCATATCATTCTTCTCATGTTCACCCACGAGGAGGAGGAAAAAGAGAAGAGAAGAATGATAGTTACAACAGCAGTAGAGAATCCTGCTCCTTACTAGAGCTAACCCCCACCCCGATGCATGTCAAGAGAGATCAAAAGAAGCATTATGGACGGCAGCACGTTCACTCAGGAGACAGATTCAATCAAAATTCCTCTAGAAATGAATCCCGTTCTTCCGTTTCTTCTTTAACTTTCGATGAAAATGAGTCTTCATCGTGTAGAAAACACGTTCTTACCAATCCCGAAGTGTGCGTTCGTACGGAGCCTTGCACGATTGACAATAAAGAGGCGAACGAAGAGTTTCAAGGGTTTCCTTCAGTAACCCCCGTTCACGAACAGCAGTCTAACCTTCCTTTCCCTGTGGAAACTTCTTTGAACAGTTTTGCGTCCTTTTTGGAAACCCATGCGCGGTCTAGCGGGATCGCGATCACCCTCAACCCTGACGAAAACAACGCGGAGAGTACCCCAATTCGGTCGCGTCCTTTTATGGAGTTTTGGCGTCCCCACTGCCTCAATGCTTCTCCTTCTTCACCCTTAGCGTCCGATCAGCTGAACTGCCGTTTCTCCTCCTGTTCCCTTCCGCAGATCCTCACGAGCTCCACCCC